TATGGTGCTTTCCTTTTCCTTCTAACTTCTTTGAAGGACAACTGCTTCTGCAAGCCTCTGCCCTCACTCAAGAGCCCTGCACAACTCAAAGTTTTTGTCTCAATCCCCATCTTGCAGCTTCCCCTGCCCGGTTTCCTTGTCACTGTACGAACATTGTCTTCCTTCTACCTCTCTGCCTAGCGCCGCTTTCTCCCTTGCTTGCACAACCAACTCGGTCTTCCCCAGACACCTCTCTCTCTTAATCTTGTCAACCATAAGCCTGCAAGTGCCTGTCAAGCCCGCATCCTTTACACGGCCCTGTCGTCCACAGTTCTAACTCCCTATGACTTCAGCTCTCCAAAAGTTCTAACAGCACCTCGAATTCAGGAGATCCAGAACAATGAATCAGCTTTCTTCTCCTCCCCTGGAACCGGTCGACCAGTCCCCAAACCTTAGTGTCATCTTTCTTCTTCTGTTTCATCTTAACCTTCCACCTTACCACCTACATTCGGTCCTCCCCTCCTGCTAGCATTTTGTGGGCCCAGTCTTTAGAACTTTCAGGCCAGCTATGCTCACCACTTCCTCCAGCCAGAGGATGGTGCAGTGGTAATGCTACTGGCCTCACGTGGAAAGATCCAGGCTCATGTCCGAGGGCCCCCTCTGCACACTAGGTGCTTGCTTGTGTGCCCATGATCCAGGTTGGCTGAGGCTGGGGGGGGATCATGGCATAAGGACCCTGTTGGAGTGTCTAATTCTCTCTCTAGCTTTCTCATTTCATGGAAGAAATAAATTATACTTTATGCCTTAAGAGGGAAAAAAAAAAATCTTCCTCAGTGGGCTCTAAGCCTCCAGTCTTTCCTCAGGTTGTCCTTCATCAGGAAACCTCCCCGTTATAAAACCTAAACCTCCAAGGTTGTAAATGAAGGGAGAATGTCTACACAGCAGAGGAGACTCAGCCAGACAACCCTAGCTGCGTTTGGCCGTCTCCTCTTAACAAGTCATTGAGACCACACTGGACAGTTTCTGAGGCTAAAACAGATCCTGAAATAGGCTCCAAGTATAGGCTTTCATGTACACTGTTAAGAAAGATTAAGTCAGGGAAGGGAAGAAAAAAGGCTCTCAGAGCATGTGAAGCACAAAAATGGCCACTGCAGAAGGTTGAGCCATTAAGAAAACCCACAGTAGGACCAGCAGTTGGCATAATGGCTATGTTGCTGGACTCCCATGTACTACAGCCACTGCAGTCCCAGTCCCAGACCTGGTGGCTTAAACTCACACCAGGCGTGTGTGCGTGCGTGCCCAAGATCCAGAGAGGAGAATGGAGGAGAAGGGATTGCAGTATGGCCATCCCCCTGTGGGGTGATTTCTCGCTTCCTGTCTCTCTGTCTGTCTCTGTCTTTCTGGTGAGTGCACATGCCCTGTAGCAAAAACCTCTCCAGAAAGAAAAAGAAAAACACCCACAGTGATGACAGAAGTCCCAAGGCAAAGCGGACTTAGAGCAACACAAGTTTTTGTTTGTTTGTTTTTAGAGAGGTTTTGCTGTAGGGCACATGTGCTTGCCAGAAAGATAGAGAGAGACAGAGAGACAGAAAACAAGAAATCATCCCCAGGGGGGTGGCCACACCACAATCCCTTCTCCTCCATTCTCCTCTCAGGATCTTGGGCACACACACACAAGTGCCCGGCATGAGTTTAAGCCACCAGGTTCGGGACTTGAAATACAGTCAACTATGTAGGAGTCCAGCAACGTAGCTATTACACCATCTGCTGATCCCAAAGGACACAATTTGAGCCTTAAAATTGCTCCCCTTGAATATAAATTCCTTTCCACTTCAAGATCAGTGTTCAGTTTTATTAAGACAGTTGGGGAGAAGAGGAGTCCATACACCCACTTTTTTTTTTTTTTTAAACAGGGCATGTACACTCACCAGAGAGACAGAAATTGAGACATCACCCTCCCCCCCAGGAGGGCCACATCACAATCCCTTCTCCTCCATTTTCCTCTAGGGATTTTGGGCACGAGCCTGCGTGCACGTGTGCATACGCGCGCGCGCGCACGCACGCACACACTCACACACACACACACACACACACACACACGGTGTGAGTTTTAAGACACCAGGTCTGAGACTCCAACTGCGGTTGACTACATGAGAGTCCAACGACATAACCATTACGCCCTCTGCTGGTCCTCATATTCCCACTTTTTAAATCATCTGAACAAAACTCTGCAAGAGCTCCCAATGGTTGCCCACTGCTCAGACACAGCTAAGTCCCAACGCTTGAGTCTGCCAATCAAGACGCTGTCTACTGGTGAAATCCAATCCTTCCTACCCCCTTTTCCCATCATCCACCTTCCACTGAACCATACCAAAATGAACCACAGCCCCATCCACTGGTGCCCCATGCTGCGCCCCTGTCTGGAATTCACTCATTCTACACATGCGTGGAGAGTTGACCATGCCTCCGCTATGAGCTGGAATGCCCTTCCTCATCTTCCCACATGAAATATCACCAACCCTTGATGGCCTAGCTCAAGGGTCATCTTACCCACGATGCCACCCTATTTCCCTCCTCTCAACACCCAGGGCTTCTCAGAGCACTGGAAGCATTTTGCCTTGCATTACAGTTGTGTGCGTGCGTATCACCAAATCCTCTGTCACTCCTCCTACGCTCAACATCGGGTCTGGCAGAGAAAACACAACTCCTTGGGGTGCCAAGAACCGGATCGTTAGCTGCCTGTCCGCTCTAGACCATGAGCTCAACCTTGCCAACACTTCTGCTCCCCTCGCGCATACACAAGCTATTCAAGAACCCTTTGCTGAATGATGAGTAAATGAATACAAACTTCATTTCTGTAAACTCCCTTGTACTTCTTTTTCACCATAATAGCGAAAAAAATTAAAAGTGCAATAGAAAGAAAATTGCTTGAGGTCAAGAATTCGTGCGACAGCCACCGCGGAGCCGGAAGCGTGACAGTGCAGCGGCACGCCCTTCCACGCCCTTCCAGACGGGAGCGGCTCTCCGCGGGCCAACGCTGGCGCCCAACCCCCACCTCGCCACGGGTCTCCGCGACAGCGGTGGGTGCCCGGGGTGCCGGCGAGGCAGCGGAGAAACTGGCGTCCCCTCCGGCCCTGGGGCGGGGGCGGAGAAGGCGAGCCAGAGCACCTCCTGCTTCGCAGAGCTCCGCCTTCCTCCCAAACCGCGGGAACGCGACCCGCGCTCCACGCCCGGGCTCCGAGCAGCCCGGCCCAGGGGCGGGGAAGCGTCCGGGACGCGCCTGGCTCCACCAGGGCTCGGCGGCGGGGCCCAACTGGGACCCCGCGCCGCGC